GCGACGGTACCGTCGCAGGAGCAACAGCCTTTTAAAATTCCTTGGACGGTAAACCGGATTTTTAATTCTCATGGCCTAATGAAAAAAGCCTCATGCCATTTGAAAAATGTCCGGACAAAAATCTAAAACTTTAATTCTCATGGCCTAAGAGTAAGACTAGACTAGAGTGAGATACGAAGATTCTGAAGAACACTAAAACAAAAGTTAAAACTGTAGCCTGTACTGTAGGCCTAAGTAAAAGTTAAAACTAAAACTTAAAAGTAAACAGACAAAACACAGCGAACGATACTTTCATGACGGCAACCTTAGCGATGTCACGAATGGATTTAGCATGACCAGAATAAAGTTGCGACTTGCCTTCGGCTTTGCTTAGTTTAGAATTAATTTGCAATTAGCTAATTCACCTCTGATTTTGTGCCGGGTCTGTTTCTTCTCAAAATCGTTACGTCCGCCATAGCTGATGACTGATGTTCATCATTGAATTATTCAAACAGATGGCGCTGTTATACCATAACAAGCTTCGGATGATTTGGGAAATTTTAGCCGGTTAAAGTAACTCATCGGAATCCGCAGAATCCTTTATAAGTAGAAAGTCGTGTATATAATTTTTCTGCTGATATTATAGTCCACGTAGTCGTGTGCCGTACAGCGATAATTTAGTTGAATATGGTAAGTATAATATGAATTGTTACGTATATTATGCTATACTATATATTTGCCGACTCACTATTACAACAAAACCCATGTAGATAGTGATGTTGAAATTGTAACAACAACCCTCCCAACTCAATATCTGCCGACTCTATACCCCATACCGATAAGACTACTTGTTTGTTAAAAAAATATAAGGTCTTGTTGTATATTATTGTCAACGCGAACAGCTGCAAAGCCAGCCACTGGTTTCTGGCACTGTCGGTATCACATATGATATTGTCATTATTGATACACAGTACTAGTAGTAGTAGTCAGTACACACTGTCACTAATTCACAGCACTGTGACTATCGTGACTATGGTACTACACTAAAACTAAAAGTTAAAACACACTACACAGCAATGAGCAGGCACTTGGCGTTTTAATAATAAAATAATAGTGAATGGACGCAAATTGTATTTTAAACTACCAAATTCTGCAGTAGCTTGAGTAAGGGTCTTCATAGATACAATAATGGGTGCAAATCCACTTTAGGCACCTTAGGTATCACGAAGTGATGCACAGATTTCTGTGTATCATCAACTGATGCACAGACTTTCCGTATATCAAGGAATGATGCAAAAACCCTAATCCTAACCCTAACCCTAACCCTAACTCTAACCCTAACCCTAGCCCTAACCCCAACCCTAACACACTTTGTGATGCCTAAGGTTATACTTTATGACTTAGGGTTAGGGTTTTTGCATCATTCCTTGATATACGGAAAGTCTGTGCATCAGTTGATGATACACAGAAATCTGTGCATCACTTCGTGATACCTAAGGTGCCTAAAGTGGATCTGCGCCCAAAAATGTAACCCAAACCCAGGATAGGGTTACAACGTGTCGCTATGGTTTTCTGTGGAGGAAATTCAGGGAACCCATGAGTGAATCACTCAGGGTAGTTTGCTGGTGCGTTTTCAGAGACTAGAACTTCCAAACTGGATTTATTCTCAACACGAACCTTTCTCCGCTATCTTGGAACTTACTATGTATCACAATACTCTGTATTAAACTAATATAACCTGTTACAAAAATTCGAAGTGACGAGCGGCGGATATTTCGAGCGCCATTTCTGTTGACCTGTGACGTACGCATTCCCAATGCGCATAGCGATCGGCTTACTTCGACTCCAAGATCGAATGTATCGGCATGACATGGGATCAGGGGTCGAAATTAATCATCCCTCGTTTCAAATTCATCCTGGCGGAACTGAATAGTTAGATTTAAACTAAAAGCCGTGGAAATTCTTTAGTTTCAGGGCTGCTCAATGCAGTCTAACATTTCAAATTTTTTAATTTTGCTGGGGTAGCCCCCAGTAACCCCCCTCTACCTCTCTCCCCCCCGTCTGCCTGCGGACACATTCGTGCCTATGCACGCCTTTGAATCCATCATGTGCGTTTATTTCCCCAAAACTGGCCATTACCGCCGATTGCTCTAATTTTCCTCTCAAAGACCTGAAATACCGTATTTTTTCAAGCTCAATATCAAGCACATGTTGACGACGTGCAAGCCGCATGATGTCTTCAAAATAGCACAGCGTTATTGTTACATATCTTTAATTTGAACCTCAGACTGCGGAACTCCCTCATTTTCTGCCGTACTCTCTCTTTTTGAGCGCAGGCTTGGAGGCATGTCCGCTGGCACTCCCATGTTCATAAGTTAGTTCTTACCCCGTATCCGCTGATTACCGATTATCTATAATTATTATCGACTCGTACGGGGATAGCTGATAGAAAGGTCGGATTATCATATGGTCGCAGTTTTAATGATTTGCTTCAAAACTGGCGAAGCTTACTTTTCACTGAAACTCTCCAAGTACAGTACTTGAGCTCTGATCACTATGTTTAACCCAACCCACGATAGCGTGACACGTCGCTATGGTTTTCTGTGGATGGAAATTCGGGC